TCGGGAACTTCGGTTGCCAGTGAATCTGTTTTGTGAACCAAAAACTAGTTATTTGTTAAGTAATGTTAAAATACTCCTTATTTTTAAAAATGAACTTTAATCCAATTAATCATTGGAGTTTAATTAATATAGGCTAAGAGCTAATGCTGTATTCAGAAGTCTCAATGACTAATAAAGAGTTTATGTGCTAAAATAGTTTTTCTTTTAGCTTTTTAAGCTTTTAGAGATGAAAGTAAGGTAACATCAACTTCAAAATGCTCACTTAGTTAATACTATATGAAGCCTTAAAAGTGGTAAAGAAATTAGTATTTTTATTGCTAGCTTATTAAAGTTAGATCAAGCAAGTTAACATGAACCATTTTTATTCTGTTAGGCCTGCTTCTATGTGGAATGTGTTGATGATGCTTATGGTGCAGTGTCAATGCTAATATCGGGGAATGTTGCTCCTGTGTTTTCCGTTTCTTGTGTCAGTGGAATTGGAATAGACCTTTTATATGCCTTTCTAAATGTTATACCTCCAAGCATAAGTGTAAAAGAAAAAGAAAGGCTCATACAGTTACCAAATGAATTTCAAGTAAGTTATGTTTTATTTATTGTATTGATAGAATTACTGATTGTGCTTTGATTTTGTCATATGGTTACTGCCTCCCAGATTATGTTTAAAATGTCTAATAATAAAACATAATATCTTAGGAAAACCAGCAGATTTAGAATTTTAATTAGTATAATTGATGAATAAAAAAGTAATACAGGAATAAGGCCACCAACAAGCGGGGGCTACAAGCCAATATAAAGACTGAAGATTATTGAAGTTACATTGTTCTGATGTATGATAAAAATGCTGAAAAAGCATGATTGTTTTTAGGGTGCTACAGAAGAGAGAAATAATTGAAAAGTTAAGCTCTTTTAGATTTTTGAAAATCATTTTTCTATTAATATTATCATTTGTGGTAATTGGGGTTAAATAACAAAATAAAATAACTAGATTTAGTAAGATTGGTAAATAAAGGTAAGACGGTCAAAGTTTTAACTTAGAGTTTAGTGATGTAAATTGTACTACAACGTTAAATTAGGCTTAACAAGTGTAATGGTACTTTAGGCTTAGCTATAATCCAACTTAATGGTAAATTGTAAAGCAGGTTAATACATTGTTTTATTAACTAAATACAATCTAAAGACTAGTTTATTGTCTCATCGTGTTTTAAGGATTAACTTGTTTACTTGAACATAGATCCATTAGTTTAAATTCAACTTATACTTATTGGTAGGTTATAAATCAAGCTAAATACATTGCATTATTGACAGTATGTATATATCAATATGAAGACTAGTTATTGTGACTTCTAATAAAGTTCTATTTTCAAGTTCTATATTATTAAAAATAAATTGAATTACTTTAGTGTGAAAACAAAGTAGTGATAACAAAAATAATTGGTTCTTAAATGTTAGGCTTAACAGTAACAGTGATGACAATAGCCTACTGGTATTTAATATTGGTATACTTATTCCAGGCTATGAGTATAAATACAATGGTTAAGACTAGTGTAGGAATTAAGCATTCACAGTTTGTTAGGTGTAATTGGAGCAATGAGTGAGTTTTATTTGGGAACTCGGAACTGGCATGTACCTTTAAGGAAGGTAGTAGTGAAGATGTGCAATTTATATATAGAGTTTGTAGGCTGGAGGAGAAGTTGGAGGGTATCCTAATTAAAGTAAGGCAATAGATAAAGAGAAATGTAGACTGTGGGAAATGGCTGCAGGATTTGAAGAGGAGCTTAAGCTTTTACATGCAAGGGATACATCAGCTAACAATGACTTTCAAGAAGTTGGAAAGAGTACTATTAGGTCTAAAGGTAGTGGATTTAATTGTAATGAGCCTATTCTGTTGAGCAACCGATTTCAGCCCTTGGCTTCTGTAGATGAGGAACTATTAGAGGGAAGGAAAGCAAAAAGGACAGAGAAAGATATAGATGATAAACTAAAGGAAGTTATAGTTATAGGTGATTCCTTGATAAAGCATGTGGATAGGATAGCCTGTGGGGTAAATATGAAGAAAATAATTAGATTATGCTACCCAGGATCACAGGTGAAAGATATAACTGACAAAGCAGGAGATATAATAAATTGGGCTAGCAGAGATGCAGTTTTTTTTTGTGCACATAGGGGCTAATGATGTAGGGAAAGCTAGGTCAGAGGAGGTAATTCATAAATATAACTTTTTGATAAAGGCAGTTAAAGAAAAAGCCTTGGATAACTGTAGGGAGGAAGATATAAGTAGGTCAATAGGACTAAATGTTAGGCTTAGGTTAGTATATAAGGATGAGCAGATTGGCTGGATGGACTTGTGGGGGGTCAGTTTAATGGAAGAAGGGAGCTTTTTTGAATGGATGGTTTGCATTTAAGTAGGATAGGGGCTGGCTTGTTTGCTAAGGCTATTGATTCAGCTGTAATGGAAGTTTTAAACTAAGATTAGACAGTGGTGAGGGTCAGGAAAACTAAATACAAAATGAATAAGAGGCAGAGAAAAATTTATCATAGGAAATTAGTAGAGAAGTAATTATAAGGATAGGCTTAATTGTTACTATTGTAATGCCAGAAGTATAAGAAATAAAATAGATTACTTTATAGTATTATTAGGAATAGAGGATTTCGATGTAATGGAAATAACTGAAACATGGTTAAACATAGATGATTTTAATGACAGAAGTTTCCTTTAAAAACAGGGTTACAGGCTATTTAATAGGGATAGAGTATTAAAGAGGGGGAAGGAGTGGCTTTATATGTAAAATGTGAGTTACATCCTGTTGAAGTTGAGGATATTAAAGATAATACAAAGGAGATTGAATCTATTTGGGTTTCTGTTTGTGGATATAGAGGGAAAAGGCTTTTAGTGGGAATTTGTTACAGACCACTAGATGATACTGATGAAATTAGTGAGAACCTTTCAAATGAGATTGAAATTTCAGCTGTTAATGAAGTCATAATTATGGGTGATTTTAATTTCAGGCATATATATTGAAAAATGGTAGAGTCAAACAGTGAGGGAGAAAGGTTTTTGGAAACTGTTCAAGATGGCTTTCTTCTCTAGTAGTCAAGGAACCTACTAGAAACAATGTCATTTCAGATTTATTGTTAACTTCAAATATAGAAATTATTGATAGGGTGGAAATTGGGGAACATCTGGATGCAAGTGATCATTGCTCTATCAGGTTCAGTGTTTTGCTGCATATGGAGATAAGGAATAATGATATTTTATTTACAAATTTCAAAAAAGCAAATTTTACATGGATGTGACAAGAATTATCTGTTGTAAATTGGGCAGCTGAATTATTTGGAGACACTGATCAGATGTGGACAATTTTTAAAGATACATTTTTAAATATTCAAAGTAAACATATTCCTTATTAAAAGAAAAGGGTAGCTGCAAGTAAAAAATGAGGTTGCTCACAAAGAGTATAAATTGACTGGTATGACAGAAGATTTAGAAGATTATAGAAGATCAATAAAGTTGGTGAAACAGGAAACTACGACATCAAAAAGGATGTATGAGAAAAGATTGGATGAAAATGTAAAAATTAACAGTAAGGATTTCTTTAAATACATTAAGGGTAAACAAAATATTAGATGGGGGTAGGATCTTTCAGGGATGATAAAGGAAGGTTCATATCTGATGATTATAAGATGACTGGGTTATTGAATTCTACTTTTTTCTTCAGTTTGTTTGTACTTGTGAAAATTGAAGTAGTACCTCATCTTGAACAGTTGATAGATGGAAACAAGATCGAAAACAAGAGGACTGATTTAATTGTGAGCTTGTTAAGAAAAATTGGGAAGTTTAAAGAATTATAAGGCTCGTAGGCCAGATAATATTTCCCCAAGGGTTTTGAAGGAGGTTAAAGATTGGATATGTGAGACACTTACAACTATTTTTTGTCAGTCCTTGAATAGTGGGCAAGTACCAGAGGATTGGAAGTTAGCTAACGTCACTCCTCTTTTCATGGGAGGTGATAAAAATTATCCCAGTAATCATAGACCCAATAGTCTCTCATCAGTTGTGGGAAAAGTTTAGGAAACTCTCATAAAAGATGCTTTGCAAAGCCACTTAACAAATTTTAGAATATTATTGTATAGTCAACATGGTTTCACTAAAGGAAAAATCTTGCCTTACAAATATTTTGACATTCTTTGAAAAGGTTACTGCTTCTGTAGATGAGGGTAAGGATGTAGATTTGGTGTTCCTGGATTTTCAGAAAGCATAGGGTTCTTACAAATGGAGTTCAGTCAAACTGGATTAATGTCACAAATGGGGTACCTCATGGCTCAGTCTTAGGACATTTGCTCTTTTTAATGTACATCAATGACATAGATGAAAGAAAGGTCAATATATTACTTAATTTTGCAGATGATATTAAGATCTTGGGTGTTGCTAGCTGTGAAGAGGATGCTGCTGATTTACAAAATGATTTAGATCATTTAGTGAGTTGGGAATATTGAATACAAGTCTTAAGATGTTATAATTTCATTGTATAAGTCACTGGTTAGTCCAAATTTGGAGTATTGCGTTTAGTCTTGGAGGTCCTTACCTTAGGAAGAACATTGACCTGTTGGAAAGGATTCAGAGGAGGGTTACTAGAATGGTGCCTGGGAAGGAGGAGTTGTCATAAGCAGAGAGATTGAAATCTCTCAAGTTGTTTTCCTTTGAAAAAGGAAGAGTTAGAGGGGATCTGATTGAAGTGTTTAAGATTGTAAAGGGAATTGATAGTGTTAATGCATCATCTTTTTTCATACTTAATAGTGAGAATAGTAGGACTAGGGGACATAAAAAGAAATTATGGCAGGGTATGAGTCATCTTCAGCTAAGACAGTTTTATTTTTTTAACAAGGGTGGTTAGCCTTTGGAATGGGCTACTTTCGGATGTTGTGTAGGCAGTAAAGTTAAATGAGTTTAAAAGAAAACTTGATAAGTAAATGAATCATAAGAGCTGGCTTTAAGATTTAAAAAATAATAATTAATAGTCTTAGTTTAGTTTAGAGTATGGGACAGCCGAAATGGACCAATAGGTTCCATGTTGTCCCGAAACATTATATTATGTTAAATACAGTTAATCATTGTATAAGATGGATAACTGAAAAGCTAAAAAAAAGTGAACATTTTTCAGGAAAACAGAGTTGGAGAAAACAAACTATAAGATTGGAATTATTTTTAAATAATTCTTGTATAACAGGTCCAATATGTTTTATCCTTAACAAAAATACATATTTTTTGTTAGAGGATTACCTGATTAGCTAAGTGAAGCTACAGGTGAAGGAAAGTTAAACACTTTGTGTAAAACTTCTTTCTTCAAGTTAACTGTTGGATTTGTCTCTTGAATTTGTTTTTGAAGCTCTTGTTTACTTTGCTTGCACAAAATAGATATTTTTGTTCCTTCTTTTAGATTGATGAAACTTTCAGGCTGTCAGATGTGGGAATTGTTGTGGGAGGTCTCTTAACCCAGGGCATTATAAAAGAAGGTGACAGTACTTCAGTGGGACCATTAGAAGATGGCTCTTTCTTTCCTGTAAAGATTACCTCCATTCACAGGCACAAAACACCTTGTAGAGTTGTGAGAGCTGGTGAAAGTGCAACCCTTGCACTAGCTGGATGTCAGAACATAAACATCAGGAAGGGAATGGTCCTGGCTAACTTCAATTCCCATCCTCCAGTGTGTCAGTTTTTTCAGGCTCAGATCAACCTCCTATTTCACACAGGTCTGATAACGTCAGGCTTTCAGACAACAGTACACATTGGAAATGTCAGACAGACTGCCACTCTAGTTAAGATCATGGGAAACAAGAGCTTAGCAACTAATGACAAGGGCACAGTTATATTCAGGTTTATGAAGCAACCAGAATGTGTGCGACCAGGTGCTCAGTTGTTGTTCCGTGAAGGTCGCACCAAAGGGATTGGACAAGTAACCCAAGTCTTTCAATTTTAGGATGTGTTTTTGGTGAAAGTTAGTAGGATGTAAATGTGCCTAAATACAAAATTAATTTATGTTTGTTAAAGTTCATTATAACTTTTAAAATGTATACACTGTTATTTTAGACATTTTCTTACATCCACAAAGATGTAAGGATAAAGAATTTTAACAGACTTTTTCAACAATTTTCTTATTTTTATTGGATTTTACCTGATTGTTTTGAATGTTAATTTTTTACAAAAAAAATACATGGAGAAAATTATTTATACCAAGTAGTATAATGAATATTTTAATCAATTATATTGAAATGTTTTATATTTTTTTAGAAATTATATTTTTAAGGTATTGTTGAAATTACATGAAAGAATAATTGACATTGATCAGTGATATCTCCAAGAGATCAAATAAGAAATTTAATATTGAAGATCTATTCACTTATATTGTTATGCAAAGGGGTTTTGGTTTTAAAAAATACAAAGCCAGAGTTTCAAAATGTTCATATTATGTGCTATTGATCATCAAATTTTACAGTTACATAAAGAAAAAAACATTTTCATGCTCAGCTGTGTTGTTTTATTGTATGGTTTTAGGTACCATTTTTAATTTATTTTCTGAAGAAAAAGATCATTTCAAAATATAACAATTCTTTACGTTTGTGAAATAAATTTTCAATAATCCATGTACATTTTGTTATATATATATATATACAGAAAGAAATTAGCCTTTGTCAGTTACTGTTATGTAGGTCTTAGTTGTCTAGTACATGTTTTTCTGTTTTAAAATATGACCAGTTAATAGTATTGTAGACATTGTAAAGTAACTTGTTTATTGTGCAATGGAAAGGTGAGTTTTTGCTTGAGTATGCAGTCAGTAAATTTTGTAGGTAAGGTTTTCAGTCCTTACAAAACATGCAAAGTTTTGGTAAGTGCCATAATATGACTTCAGATGCAAAGCCTTATGGTATTACTAAATACCCACCCATTTTTAAGGATATTGTTATAAGAGGTATATTTAATTATTATTCCAAGATAGAATATGTTGTTATTAAACATAAATTCTAGAAATTTAAGACTAAGGTTGGATCACAATTCTTAGTAAGCAGAACTTGTTACAGTAACAGTGTTCTTAGTTACTTAAAATGAAACATGTATTTCTTTTTATCCTGTCCTAAAAGTATCTAGTGTTGGTATTACTAAGTGTTTGTAAAATAATTTTATTGAAATCAATTGGCAGTAAAGACCTGTATGAAAGTTAGAATTCCTTGTGGCACAGATGTCTCGGGCCAAATTAACAGTAGAAAATCTGTTTGAAAGTTAAAATACTTTGTATTTTACAAACAATTCTTGTTTTACAAAGGATAGCTGTAAATTAATGTCAGTAAAATGTTTAAATACTTCAAACAATATTCATAATAATGAAGTATTTTATTAAAATGTTAAAAATGGAATGAAAAAACATACTCTATAAAATTATTGGGTATATTATATGTTTAATATTTATGTTTAAATATTTATAAATAATGCACATATACTTTCCTTTCATTGTTTTGCAAGTTTAAGTCCCATTACTGAACATGTTTGACCTGTCAGCCATAGTGGCATTATAATATGATGGCCAGTCCCATTATTAATAAGTAAAGAGTAGCCCAAGAGCTGGCAGTGGGTGGTGTTGACTAACTGCCTTCCACCTAGTCTATCACTTCAAATTAGGGAGTGCTAGTGCAGATGGCCCTTGAGTAGCTTTGTGTGAAATTCATCAATCAAACAAAACTTGCATTGTTTGATAGAGTGTACCACTTAATAACTTTGTTATAAACCTTACCTTGTTTTAGAATGGTGGTGTGTGGCATCTTAGCCATATAAGGTATGGGCTACAATAAAGCCAAGCCACAGGAACAAGGGTGAATGTAGATTTAGATGAAATGACAGTAAAGTTTAAGCTGAAGGTAGAACAAAAAGTTCATGACAAATCTCGCGTATATACCAACAAATTTATAGCCAATAAAGTTAGAAACGCATGTACATATGGTGTTGTATTAAACTAAAACATGAACATCAACATAGCACTGTATCAAGCTAAAACTAAAACACTAATACAGTTTTGTATTAAGCTAAAATGTGAACACTAACATGGTGTTGTATTAAGCTAAAACACATGAACATTGTGGTGTTGTATTATTTACAGCACCTGACAAAATTATAAAAGTACAAGGACAAATTTTGAGGAGCAAAAGTCAAACAGCTATGCACATAATAACAATTAATATTCTTTCTTTATCAAGTGAGAGACTTGCTGCAGGTGCTCCACATCCAGAGCTAACTGAAGCCACAAATTTCATGTAGTTAACCCTGTAAATATCCAGTAGAAGAATGGGTTGAGTATATTATATTAAAAGATTTTGAATATTCAATTTAGGAAATCATGTGCAAACTACAGCTAATATAAAGTCATAGTAAAATGACGTATATCAGAACAACGTTGTTTGGCATTATGTACTTAATGTGATGCCACTGAAAACTGATTGCTTTTGAGAAGAGTATGTAACAACCCTTGACAATACAAAATGTTCATACACAGAGTCATAAAGATGTATGTTCAGTTAAGGGCTATTGAATTTCTCAGATGGGGATAGTCTGTACACTTAGTGACACTGGAAAACAAAAAAATATGGATCAACTTGGGACAATGGGAGTGTCCAGAAAGAGGCCTGCGACAAATCGTATCTTAACCATTATCAACGTGTATTATCTTGTAACAGGTGAGAATTCATGAACACAATGGATAGTTGTAAAAGCTGTTCACTTGTTCCAGATAACATTATGCAACACAATCAAGTAGGACCTTCAGCTGGAAAAGTAACATAAGTTGCTTCAACAGCATATCTGCATTTGTACAACTTATACAACTTATAGTAGTATAAGGCACCCCATGTTTTCGACAGGTACACCTCCTACTTTTGCAGGAGCAATTTATGACATCAAGCAGTTCTGGTGGTGCTGCAGGTTGATTTGTTGGAATTGGCAGATATTTTCCATCCATAAGGTACCACCCAAACTCATCTGGCTTCAAGTTGGCAGAGTTCTCCTGCCACTCTATAATCTGATGAAACACAAGGAGGCTGTGGTACCTAGCCACAGCTGATGTTGGTGGTAGGGTTTGGACTTCAACATAAGATTTACTTTTAGAAACCTTCTCACAGAATCTTCTATATTGTAATGCATCCAATCCTTCTGCTATGTCTATGTATGCGGGTTTTTTCAAAGCTGAATGACATCAAGCCATCTACTGTGTCCACCAAGGGGAATCGAACTCCTTATTTTAGCGTTAAAAATCCGTAGACTTAAAACTGTCCCAGCAGGTGTCTCTCCATACAAACACACAAGTGACCTCTTTTCTACTTCAACAATATCCCTCTGAATAACTGTGCTGTACTGATCAAACACTTTAGCCTGCTGATAGAACTGGTGATTGGACATTATCTTCTTCACAGCAATACCATTTCCCAACCCAAACAGGTGAGAGATTGTTACATTCCAGAATTGCATGTATGAACAACACATTGTCACAGATAATGGCGCCCAGGTGCTGCTTAGATTGTTTGATGAACCACATCCTGCTCTTTTTAGAAGTTTGCTTGCACTCTGGAGCCAGCACAATTCATGGCCATTCATCTCGGCATGATGAAGCAAAAGTACCAATAAGTCTTTATCATCACCACCAAAAATGGTGTCTTTGCTTCTAGCAGATTTCACAACTGTTTGTACAATCAATAATTCAGCATCATGACTTGCATTATCAGTGCTACAATGAGCTCTGTCTAGCTTGTCACTGAGATAATAGATGAAGTGATGGTTGTTTGTTTTGTTCAAAAGTTCTTCCTTTTCTGACTGGATTATCATTCCCCCTGTGAAGTGCACTGTCACACCTGAACAAGAATCTGTTCTCCTAAGGTGTGTGGGACCCTCTTTGTAGCCATCGAGGATGATGACACCCTTACCATATTTCTGTGTCACATACCTAATGCACATGTCACACACAGTGTCATATCTGGAATCTCATGGCCAATGAAGACCATGAAGCAGAGCATCACCTGCAAGGATATACTGAACATTTTCTCATGGTTGTTGTTGCACATTCTATTATTTTTTTCATTTTACGTGATGTTTAAGTAACGTGAAAAAATCAGTAAATTGTGGTTTTTAGACTAAGTATATCTTATATAATTATGTATCATTTAAGGGTCTCAAAAGGTGCCCTTTGAATGAGTATTTCAATCTAGAAGAAGATATTATTCTACGTTAGAACCCATACAATTATCTATTCTGAAGTCCGCAGTAATAAACATACAGACGTTACTAAACATTTATCTACGAGGTAGCTCTAGTTGGAATTGGCTCATTTCTATATTTTATACAATGGTCATCTGAGAATTGTTGTCCTTAACTTTGAACTGATAGACTAGAAGAAAAGCAGTTAGTCAACAACACCCACCGCCAACACTTGGGCTACTCTTATCTGCTGAGATTTGACTATCGCATCCACGGTTGTTGGTTCAACGTACGCGTATTATGAATTATTGGGTCCATAGTCCAGGCACGCTAATAACAGGGCTTACCGGCGGGTTTGGGATTTTCAGCGCGTTTCAAAATGACGGAGGCAAATACTATACTGTTAAAATAAGATTACCTACTGGCATATAAGTATGATACATAGAAACAAAGCACGTTAAATAGCAAAACAATAATAGATGTTCTATGACTAAACACCCATCTTACTTTTAATGCAAATATTTTTGTTTGCCCATAAAAGTAGCTTTTCATATAACGTAGACTTACGGTACTACCAAGATCTTTTATATATGCCACTATAGTTGTTTCATTGTCTTATCTGTAATAAAGAGCAGACTTTTTAGTTCGTCAGCCTCGGAAAGCTCTTCATTAATGAATTTGTTGTTTAAAACTCTCAGCTACGAGGAAGGCTCCTCTCAAGAGTCATTTTCATATGCTCTTATCTAAATCGATTTACTGACTTGGAGACCAATAGGTGGCGCCATCATTGTAACATGATCTGATATTAATGTGTTTCTACAACCATATGATCTGAAAATTAACTACAAGGAAGAAATGGTATTTTGATAACGTATTTTTGCTTATAAACTTTCGTAGCTCGGTGGTTAGCACGCTGGACTAAGGATTTGCAGGTTCATTGTTCACGCACAACTACCGCATTATAAGGTGCGTTTTAATGTCGACAGTCAAATCTGTCGGACAAGAGTTTATGTGGGGTTTTGTTGATTGGCTGCCTTCCTCCTCTAGTCTATCAGTTGCAAATTTGAGACTCAATCAAACAAAGCTCACAAATTTAACAGAATAAAGTTTCCATTTTTAAAACCAAACACTGGAAACTGAGAAGGTTTGTGTTGACGTTATTAGATACTTTCTCTTCTTTAAGGTACGTCTAGTTATCAAATAAGATCTGCCATTGAAGAGGGTTCAAGACTTTATTGGCTTATTTGACATTGACACCATCTGTTGAGACTTTTAGTTCTGGTGCGCGCATGCCTAAATACAAATGATATATTCTACATGATTTGGTACATATGTCTGAAAGTAAATGATGTTTTCTACATGATCTGGTGCACACATATAAAATTAAGTGATATTTTCTAGATATCTCGTACATATGTCTGAAATTAAGTGATATTTTCTACATGGTCTGGTACATATATCTGAAAGTAAGTGATATATTCTACATGATCTGGTACATATGTCTGAAAGTAAATGATGTTTTCTACATGACTAGTACATATGTCTGAAAGTAAGTGATATTTTCTACATGGTCTGGTACATATGTCTGAAAGTAAGTGATATTTTATACATGACTAGTACATATCTATGAAAGTAAATGATGTTTTCTACATGACAAGTACACACGTCTGAAAGTAAGTGATATTTTCTACATGGTCTGGTACATATATCTGAAAGTAAGTGATATATTCTACATGATCTGGTACATATCTATGAAAGTAAATGATGTTTTCTACATGACAAGTACACACGTCTGAAAGTAAGTGATATTTCATACATGATCTGGTACACACGTCTGAAAGTAAGTGATGTTTTCTACATGACTTGTACAAACATGTCTGAAGTGCGTGATAGTTGTTTCTAGATAATATTGTTGCGTCAGCGAGTCACATGACTACTGTGACGCAACTTTTCTAGAACTATCATGTACTTTGGCGAATGCTCTAGTATTTACTAGATAGGGTAGGCTGGTATATATAAGAGGGGGAAAACGTGACGCGAAAAGGTAACGTAATGTGTGTGTAGACAGTGAGTAATTGATCTGCAGTCAGAAGTATTATTGAGCACGTTCGTTATTATAGCGTTTGTTTAGCGCGATTGTTGAAGTTGAGTGTATCGGTAAAGTTATATTCGGAAAGAATAAACCAGTTTTATTAAGAAAAGACTTGTGTCGCTTAAGTTTCGTCGGAACGAAGTTACGGAAAATCAATTAACAAACGGAGACGTAACAATATGATACATACACGTTTGAACGTAAGTGATATTTTCTACTGTTGTTTATCTTAATATGTATGTAATAATGATAATTTATCAGATTTGCAAAAACGTATTTACGTAATGTATATATATTATGTAATCGAACTTTTAAATTTCGGATAAACTTTACACTCCACTTGGCGTCTCTGTTAAGAAGCAAGTAGTCTACAGAGATGATTGTTCAGCGTGTGACTGATACATCAAGATCGCTGACGTACGAACTCATTACGACATTGTGGGTCCCCCGGTGGGACAGCAGTAAGTCTATGGATTTACGTCGCTAAAATCATGACTTCGATTCCCCTGGGTGGACACAGCAAATAGCCTGATGTTGGCTTTGCTATAAAAAATACACACATACATGATAGTGTGGACAGCACTTCTAACATACTGTTGGACTTCTCTATCTTTATATTGCCTGTTTATTGTTTTACTGGCCCGAGATATTCCAAATACACTTGTTGTTTCCTAAACTAGAAAAGAAAATTGTGCTTGCTATAAAAGGGTTTTATTTTTGATAATAAGTCGTGCACTGGGTTAGGGAGAAGATGTCGGAATATATTAGGGAGTTTGTTGACCTCTCTCCTTCACCCTGGCCACGATTCTGTATGTTGCATATATCAATAGCTCCTCCTGGTGGCTGAATTCACAAATACGTATAACAAGAACTTTACTAATGAAAATGACACCCGGTGGCACAGCGGTATGCCTGCAGACTTATACCGCTATAAACCGGGTTTCGATACCCGTGGTTGAGAGGTTGCCCATTGTGTCGCTTTGTGATTAACTACAAACAAACAAAATTGTTTGTTTGTTTGTAATTAAGCAAAAAGCCACACAATGGGCCATCTGTGCTCTGCCCACCACGGGTATTGAAACTTTGGTTTTAGCGTTGTAAGTCCGCAGACATACCGCTGTGCCACTGGGGGACACAAACAAAACTAATGTGAATTCTGTAAATCGTTTTCGTACAAATTTAAAAATTAAAGAAAGCTTTACTAGGCTATAGGGATATAGTAAAGGAAATTACCAAAATAGTTCGAGTGAGTTATTTAGAAAATTTTCAAGGAAACAAATTTGATTGATAATGTCTTTCAAGAAAGCGAAAAAAAAAGAAAAAGATTGTTTGTTCTGTATTTCGCGAAAAGCTACACAAGGGCTATCTGCGCTAGCCGTCCCTAATTTAGCAGTGTAAGACTAGAGGGAAGGCAACTAGTCATCACCACCCACCGCCAACTCTTGGGCTACTCTTTTACCAACGAATAGTGGGATTGACCGTCACGTTATAACACCCCCACGGCTGAAAGGACGAGCATGTTTGGTGGGACAGGGATTCGAACCCGCGACCCACAGATTGTGAGTCGAGCATCCTAACCACCTGGCCTAGGAAAAAAAAGATGCTAATTAATCATTAATATTCATTTCATGATTAAGGTTGAATCTAGAATAATAGGTTTCTAATTTATAAGTGATTTATATGAAGAAAGAATCACATCAAAATTTAGAAGTTTGTAGCTGTGAGAAAATAAAATGATATACGAAAGTGCTCGATTTTTGTTTTGTTTTCAAGATGCAGCAATTATAAAAGGAGTTAAATGTTCATTGATGTTTTATTTATTAACATACTTTAAAAAGACAATACTGACTAAATGAAAGTTAGATACTTTCAACTATTAACATTTGCTAATTTTACTGAGCAGTGCCGTTCATGTAAAGTTACAAAACACATTGAACCATGTTTTCTTAAACTCGAAAGGTCCAACCTTAACTTTATATTGCTAACACGAAAGTGACGGGCTTGGCCTAGTAGTTAGTGTGCTCGGACTGTTAATCCAAACGTTTATGCTTAGTGATATGTTATAATATGAGTGACGGTCAAATCCCACTATTCAGTTAGACCGGACCGGCATGGCCAGGTGGTTAGGGCGCTGGACTCGCAATCTGAAGGTCGCGGGTTCGAATCCCCGTCCAACCAAACATGCTCGCCCTTTCAGCCGTGGAGTTGTCCCTAATTTAGAAGTGATAGACTAGAGGGAAGGCAGCTAAGCAACACCACCTACCAACGAAAAATGGGACTGACCTTTACATTGTAACGCCCTCACGACTGAAAGGGCTAGTATGTGCATTGACAGGATTCGAACTCGTGACCCACAGATTGCGAGTCGAATGCTTAATCGCAAGGGAATGCCAGGCTCCTATAAAACTTAACATTCTATTAAGTTTAGCTATTAAAAAGCATTTCATATCTACATATTTGGTGGACAAAGCACAAATAGCCCATTATGTAGCTTTATGCTTAACTACAAACAAAAAATACACGAAATTATAAATACAATATAAGTTATAATTAAACTTATCCAAGTTAATAACATTAAATACGTAGTACTTTATTTAACGTAATAATAATAAGAATTTATTTTAATAACTTAAGTAACTCTTCTTTAGGTTTACAGTTAAATAACAGTTATCTCACTAGTACCTTATATTTGGTTATATTGCTTTCATTTTTTATCCTTAAAAGTAGATTTGTATATATATTGTTGGTGTTAAATAAAAATATATTTTTGCACAATCTCTTTTTTTAACTATTAGAATGTTACATTTTAATCCATTTATTCTATTTATTTCTCTGCTTGAGGTGAACGAAATTTTAAAGCTTACGCATGAGTGTGTGTCAAACGCATATTTTAAGGTGGGAAATATATTTGTTTAAACATATTAAAGCTTTAGCAATGGGGTTTCCCCGTTCCCTCTTTGATGTGAAACATTTATGTTCAACATTGAAATGAAGATGCTTAACATGGTTAAGATGTGTAGATGACACGTTTTTAGTGTGGCGGAATGACATTAGGACTTTATTAGAGTTTAAAAAACATCTTAATTCAATCAGATCTGCCACCAGCTTTATATTAGAGATGGAAAAAGAGGGTCAGCTAATCTTTTTTAGATATGACCGTTAAACTGGACAATAGTCGACTCTAACTTCTGATTATATAAAGCCATTTTCTGTAGCAGTGCTACCACACAATAGATTGTGTCACCCATGGACACAAAAACTATCCGCCTTTCCACATTTGTGTTTCGAACATTAAAAATATGCACTTATGATTGTGATGTGAAAACATAGTTCAATTTCTTAAAACATGTAGCCATAGATAGGGGATATACACATGAAATTATTGATAGATTATATCATAAACATATCAATAAATTAAGAACGTTAACACGTATAAGGTTAGAAGGAAAATGTAAAGTAGATAACATGAGAGTTTATTTACCATATTGTTACGTCTCCGTTTGTTAATTGATTTTCCGTAACTTCGTTCCGACGAAACTTAAGCACACCAGTCCTTTCTTAGTAAAACTGGTTTATT